TGCCCCTATTCCTGCCATTAAAGAGAAAGAGACAGGAGAACTGTCTTTCTTGTGCTAATTCCAGTTACCTTGTTTCCTAAAGAGCAGAGAGAAGCAGCTACCTCCAACTCAAGACCCTGGCCCAGTTAAAGGGGGGGTTGGGGTTACTTTTTCCCATTTAAGCCAGATCACCCCTCATGCCTAGTGCTCCCTGATGCCAGTCACCCATTCCTGCACTCGCAGTCAAATAGGTGAGGAAAACTTTCTTTTGCTAGAGAAGCACCCACCTCTTCCCGCTAGATGCTGCTGCCCCGCAGTCTGAGGCTGCATGAAAGGCCTGGGTTTGACTCCCAGCTCACCCTAGAAAGTCAGACGTGGGGGTTGGCCTATGCCTGTGGTCCCAGCTACTCACGAGGCTGAGGCAGGAGGACTGTGACATAGAGGCACTTTCTCTTTTTAAATTTTGCAAGGGTGTGTGCACTTACTTGCCAGAGAGCGAGAGAAAGGGAGAAAGGAGCCCCCAGTGGGACGTGGTTGTGATGCAATCTCTTCATTTCTCCACCCTGCTGGATTTGGGGCACGCATGACCGCATTCCCAGTGTGTTTTTCAAACTACCCGGCTCAGATTTGAGTCCACGGTCAACCATGTGGGATCTGGCTCCCTTAACCAGTAGGTTACAGTACCAGCCTGGGAATGTCAAGTTTCTCTCCAAGGTTTTTTTTTTTTTTTTTTTTTTTTTTTGTCAAGGGGCTGGTGTGCTTATCATAGACAGAGAAAGAAAAAGTGAAAAATCACCCCCCTGGGGGAATGGCCACATCATAATCCCTTCTGATCCATCCTTTGGGCCCATACACACTCACACCCAACATGATTTTCAAGCTGCCTGGTTTGGGACTCGAACTGTGGTCGGTCATGTGGAAGTCCAGCCCCTTAACTACCACACTGACCAAAGGTCAGGTTTTTTTTTTTTTTTTTTTGAGAGATTTTCACTGTAGGGCGCGTGCACTCGCCAGACAGACAGAGAGAGACATAGAGACAGAAAGCGAGAAATCACCCCCCAGGGGGGATGGTCACGCCGCAATCCCTTCTCCTCCATTCTCCTCTCGGGATCTTGGGCACGCACACACATGCACCCGGCGTGAGTTTTAAGCCACCGGGTCCGGGACACGAACCGTGGTCGACTACGTGGGAGTCCAGCGACATAGCCATTACGCCAACTGCTGGCTCCCAAAGGTCAGGTTTTAAATTTAGACTTTTAGACTCTTTGGAGTTCCATAATGGAATATGGCAGCGTGGTGGGGACTGTCGCCTGTCCTCTGGGTTTCCCTTCCCAACTCCTGTTCTTACCTGATAGGGCCCCTCTACGTACGTGTATGGGGATTCCATCCATCCCCAAGTTCTGCCCACGCTCCCCACACAGAGCCACTCCTTGGCCAGCTTTCAGGTTTAGAGTGCACACACTAACCACACACTCTGCCCTTGGGAGGTAGAGTTGGAAAAGAGGTTGCAGGCCCTAGAAGCAGGCTCTGAACATTCAAACATGGCATTCTGAGTTCGCATGCCTGGAAGATGACCTGGAAGAAGACCTGTCAGAGTGTACGGGCACACCCTGTGGCCAAGAGGACTCCCTGTCCTGTGAAGAAGGGATCAGCTGGGAGAGGATCGGAGGAGGCCTCTAACATGCAGGGCTCTGGCACCTGCTCTTTAAAAACTGTGACCAAATATACTTAACATAAAATTTACCATTTTAACCATTTAAATGAAAATTTTTTTAATTTGCTAGAGAGCATGTGCAGTCACTGGAGACAGAGGGAAAGGAGAGAAGGAAAGCACCCCCTTCCCCCATGGGAAATGATCACACTGTAATCCCTTCTATACCATCTTCCTCCTCTTGGGATTTGGGGCACACAATACCTGATGTTTCTCAAGCCACTGCACCCAGGACTTGAACCACACATTGGCCATGTGGGATCCAGGCACTTTAATCACCACACCCCTGTCTGGCCCCATTTTAACCATTTGTAAGTGTACAATTCAGTGGTATTAAGTACATTCAATTGTTGGACAACTATCACCACTACTAACTCCAGACTAAAACTCTGTCTCTATTAAACGATAATGTCCCATCACTCCTCCCCATAGCCCTTGGCAACCACCATTCTACCTTCTATGAATTCGAGTCCTTTAGGTACATGATATAAGCAGAATCACATGACAGCCGTCCTTTTGTATCTGGCTTGTTTACCGGCATCCAATCTGCCTACTTGTAAGGGTAGCACTGGTACCACTTCACTAACTGGTTGAGTTACACTTCACTTGTCAAAGGTATCCACAATAGGAAATGAGCACGTAAAGACAGACTCCCTAGGTCTGAACACATGACCTCACATCTTGGCTCTTCCTGCCTTGTGGAGGCCCACATCACCTCTGACAACAGTAATAACCACCTCACTTATTCATGCCGCCCTATCCATGCCGCTTTTTAAATCCTTCAGGGACTCCAGGCCCAACTCCTTCGCACAGCACACAGAGCATTGCCAGGTGGCTACAAGCCTGTTTTCTCAGTTCTATTTCCAACTCCCTTTGCTCCCCAGATGAGGCTGTCTCCTCCCACTTCTGGCTTTTCATATGCTGCTCCCTCTGCCTGGAACACCCCCGTCCTGTCCCAGGCCTGAAGGTAGCATAGACTCAGAGAGCACCTTTCCCGCTCATAGCTGGTCTCTGACTCAGTAGACATGGACTCTGACCCGTGTGCCCCCAGAACATACAGTCTCCGAGTCTATCCCCAACTAACACCCCCTCTAGTGAAGCCCCGCAGGATCCATCTCTGCATCTTGTATCCTAGCATTCATCATGGTGCTTGGCGCGGAGAAACACAGGAAATGCTAGATGAGAGAAATCAGAACCTACAGCACCACTCCCTCCCTTCTCTCACAGCTGTGGGGAGCCCAGGCTTCTCTCCTTCATCTTCAGAAACTGGGCCCATTCATAACAACCAGTCACAGACACCGTGGATGTGGGGTCTGTTCATGTTTCCTTCATTCATTTACCTTCCTGCTCACTCCCCCTGCCCGTTTGCCTCAGACCATCAGTTTCCTTCTCGCGTGGGCTTTCCTCTCCACGTGCACTCCAGTCTCCACCTTCCGGCTCCTTCCACAGACCCTTGCTCCTGCTCCTGGAAAGCCAGCCTCTGCACTGACTCCGGCCCTTAAGCCCTCATCCTAGTGAACGGACTGGGACACTGGGTCAGATGCCCCTCCCTGTGCCGGCTGGGGCTGACTCATTTGCCCTCTTAGAGGACTGTGGGAGTGGGAGGCGGTTCCATGTAGCTCAGCCTGAGCCTTGAGCGACATGGCCTCTAGAATAATCCCTCATTTCCTGGGACGTGCCTTAACATACCCTCTGCCTGGTAACATCCTTCTTTACCTTGGTACATCATCTTCGGGAACACATCCTCTGAGCACACATGTGTGTGAGAGCTGGCCCAAATCGGATTATTTTGCTTACCTTCTCTACGGCTTGCTGAATCTTGTTTCCTCTGCTGTCATCCTCTTCAAAGTGCTGTTTAGTCTCTCTTAAATTACTTCGTTTGTGAGGCCAGAACAGCTCTGAAGTTTTCCCATTAACGCGCTGCTCCTTGCTCACGGAGCAACTCTGAACCAGAGTTGTTGGTCTCTTTAGAGATCCTCTGGGGCATCTTTCTAGAACTGCTGACAGAACCAGCTGTTTTTTCTTATGGACTGAAGACTCTCAAAGAAGCTTCTGGAAATGTAGGGCTAGGAGAGAATTTGTGGTTGCCACAGACTGGGAGTACGTCTGGCACACGGTGGCAGGAGCCATGCGGACTCAACACGATTTTCAAGATGCTCCAGCAGAGGAGAGTCCCACCCGGCTTTGCACGGCGGGCAGTGGTTCTCTGTGGCCCTCCATCAGCAGCAAGAGTCTCCAGGGACTGATGAGAAATACCAATTCTTGGGCTCCAGGCCAAACCCCGTGGTGGCTTATACAGTGGCAGCTTGAGTAGATGGAACCACATTCCCCAGGCCCACTTCCCTCTATGTTTCCAAGTGGAGTGAGCCACGCACGAGAGGTTATCCAGTGAGGTCTGACGTAAAGTTGGCGGCAGGATTCGTAGCTCACGCATGGTCCCGGTGCGCCTGCGCCGCTCCACGTTCCGCCCCTTCCTCTGCGTCACCCACTCCTCGCTGCTTGCTCAGCTCCAATGACCGTGCTGCTCCATCAGGCCTGCAACCAGCTGAGCCTTGTGCGCCTGCGCGGATCCGCGTCCTGGCCCCTCCTATGTCTCCCGCTCCCCGCTGCATGTGCTCAGCAACACGTGATGGGTGTGCTTCGACGTGCCTGCTTCATTGAGCGTGCAGACAGCTGGGCCTTATGCGCCTGCGCGGATTCACGTCCTGGACCCTCCTGCATCTCCCGCTCCTAGCTGCGCGTGCTCAGGTCTGTGCGAAGGGATGCGGCTTCATCAAGCCTGCAGACAGCTTGGCCTTATGTCCCCACTCTTCCACCTTCTTCCTTCACAGATACCTGCCCTGCCCTGTGGACCTCAAGTTCCAGCCTTGGCCGTGAAGTCACTGCTTTCCAGAGAATCCACAGCTAAGGGAGGTTCAGTCCTTGTACCGAATCCCTTTGTGTTAGAGAAAAATTTCCCCCTAGTGATTCTGCTTCTCAGTAATAGATCTGCTAAGTCATGTGAACGTTTTTTATTTTTTTCTAAGTTTTACTATAAGGTGTGTGCAGAGACAGGGAGAAGAAAAGTGAGAAAGCACGCCCCAGGGCTTGGCCACGTCCCTTCTCTCTCATTCTCCTCTTGGGAACTTGGGCATGCAGACATCAACACGGGCCTGGCATGTGTTTCACGGCACCTGGTCAAGAACTCCAACCCACAGTTTGCCTAAGGGATCCAGCCACATGAACCACCAGGCCACCAATGGCCTGCATAATCTTTTTTCATTGTTACTTCCTTAATAGCTACTGGGTTACGAGTTTATTTTCTTTTTTTAAAAAAGTGTCTCTGGGCCTTTTACATTTTTTTTTTCTGTATAAAGTTCACAAAACACATTCATTAGCGCTTCTGATTATCAGTATGATACTGTGAAGGAGACAGGGAGGAAATACTGCCATTTTATACTTAGGGGAAACAGGGCTCCCAGATCTAACAGTAACTGCCAAGTAATTCATTGTACTGAGCACCTGCCAACTATTCTTTTCTTTTTTTCTTTTTAAAGAATGATTTATTATTTAATTTTATTCATTGTCTTATTGTATTTACAAGGGAGGCCTTGGATGCGAATCCAGGCCCCTCCCACGTGGGTCCAGCACTGCAGTGTTGTGTTACTGCTGCACCACTGGCTGGCCCTTAATACCTTACTTCTAACCTTCCCAGCAGCTCTGTGAGGTGCTTACTATCCTCACTTTACAAATAAGGACACTGGGGCTAAGAAAAGTCATCTGGTATGCCCAAGACCACACAGCTGGTAACAGGGCCCTGGGGTCACTTGAGTGTGACACCAGTACCCTTGTTACTACAGCAGCTCCTCCTCTTAGTGTCAAGGGGAGGCACGAATGTCCACCCAGTCCCACACGTGCAGAGAGGCATCACTTGCTGCTGACAACAAAGTCCTCGGTTTGCAGGGGTGCCAGGTATGGGTGGTGATCAGTGGGGGAGTGTCCATCCCGTCTCCGTCTAGGAAGATGTGCCCTCTGTGAGTGAAGAGAGGTTTTACTTGGCTCCCTGTCCCATCCCAAGACGTGACATCATAGATCTGGACTGTCCCATCAAAACCTGAGGAAGAACACAGGAAAGAGGATTCATGTGCAACCCCCCAAAGTACAGTTTATAATTTGCTTTATACACCAAACAGCCTATGAGGAGAGGCATCAACAGTGACAAGACATGTAAAGGCCAGTCAAAGGGCGGGTCCCATGTGCCCTCATGCTGGCAGCTGATGACGCATGGAGCAAGTAACGCCAAGCGTGTGTGTGTGTGTGTTTTAGAGATTTTTTGCTATAGGTCATGTGGATTTACCAGAGACATTGACAGAGAGACAGAAAGTGAGAAATCACTTCCCAGGGGGGATGGCCACACCACTGACCCTTCTTTTTCACTCTCTTCTCAGGATTTTGATGCACGCATGTATACCCTCCCAGTCTGAGTTGTAAACTGCTGTGTCCAGGACTCAAACCATGGTCAACTACATGGGAGTCCAGCAACATAACCATGATGCCATCTGCTGGTCTGTGTGTGTGTGTGTGTCTTAATTGCAGGGAGGTACAAGTACTGGCCAGAGAGAGACAGGGGAAGAGGGAGAAAGCACTCCCCAGTGAGGTGTGGTCACACCACAATCCCTTCTCCTCCATTTCTCCATCCTATAGCAATTTTGGGGTACACAAGCACATGACTGGTGTGTTTCTGTAGTTGCTGGGGCTGAGATTCAAACCACATTTGAATGTGGGATCCAGCTCCTTCTACCACTAGGCCACAGGACCAACCCGATAACTGTTGTACCCAGATTAGAAGCTAATCTAGAGGCTCTAGAGGCTAATCCTACACATGCATTATTGCTGTTAATCCTCACAACTATTTGAAGTAGGTATCATTATTTTCCCCAGAAAACTGAGGCTTAAAAGACTTTTTTGAATCTTTTCAACTTGCCCAAGTTCCAGTCCCCCTAACTCTGAGTTCCCCTTGGCAGATGGCCATCTCCTACCTGATGAGGGCAACAGAAGCACTTTGAGAGGACCGCCCACATGTCCCCACGTCGTTCAGATATTCCCACGCGCATCAGATCTTGCTCTCTTCCTTCATCTGCTCTTTCTGGATCCTGGCATTCCAATCATTCTTTCTTGCTCTCTCCATTATTGCTTCAACTCTCCTCTCAATGGACCCCTCCCCCCCCACTGCCGTCTAGTTATGGTCATTAAATACTCCCAAGCACTAGACTCCACCAGATCAGACCTAGGAGCCCACTGACCTGGCTGGCTGGCTGCAATTCAAAAAGCAAGTCGGCTGAAATACACCCTTGAGAGCTTGTCACCTCTAGGATAGCCCCATGGCCGACCCAGGCCACTCGACTGACATCATGCCTGAATTGCAGCTAGGCCTAGAAAGGCCTGCAGCCAGGGT